AAAACAAAAAAAAGGTCCAAACGTTTTTAGAGGCTCAGCCTCTGGGCCTGAATCTGGCCCTGGCCCTAAAACGTGTACCTGGCCACAAAACGGACAACAGCACACACGTTAGAAAAACAGCAGCAATAAATAAATAAAAAAAACATAACAATAATCTAAAGCTGGCGTTTTTCTGATGCAGGCCCAAGTAAAAATGGCATAGGGCCTTCAGGTTGCGGTGACGCGACCTGGGGGCCCTACTCCAACCTCGGGTCCCGTGAGGGGCCCGTGCGTAGGCTCTCAGCATGTAACATCTGATCTGCTACATCATCCCCAGATTCCACGCAGCCTTTGTGTGAACCAAGGATACATACAATGAGCATTTCAAAAAATGTATGAACCTGGGACGCATTGTTGGCATGGTACCTTGCTTTGGTGAGGGACAGAGTGAGTGATGCCCGTTATGTCATTGGCATGATGTGTGTGTGTGTGTGCGAGCTGGGGCATGCGTGTGTGTGTGTGTGTGTGTGTGGGTGTGTGTGTGTGCGCGCGCACATGGCTATGTGTGTGTGTGTGTGTGTGTGTGTGTGTGTGTGTGTGTGTGTGTGTATGTGCACATGGGTATGTGTGTGTGTGTGTGTGTGTATGTGTGTGTATGTGTGTGTGCGCACATGGGTATGTGTGTGTGTGTGCGCAGGTACGTGTGTGTGTGTGTGCACACGGGTGTGCATGTCCGTGTGTGCATGTCTGTGGGGGGGATGGATTAAAGGTGGGGAAAGAGGGTTCTGTTTTGAATATTTTTCTCCCTCCAAATGTGCAATCAGAATGGACTTATTCACACTTCTCATGCACGTGAACAGCAAAACAACAAACTGGCGCCATGCGCCCACACAGAACTCAGAGATATGGCTCCCAAGTAACAGTTCGCTTCCACAGGCTATGGCGACTGTGCGCCTCAAACAACTCACTGTTCACACTCTGGATCACCCTGGATATCCCACACGCGACACTCAGCACACACACACAGTGCACACACACTTCCCCTAAGCTACAGCTATGGCGGCTATGGCCGCCGCTACCCTACTGCTATGGCTATGGTATGTCACTCCCGCCCACTTCGTCTTCGGGCCTCCTGCAGACCTCCTCGCACAAGCTGCTGAGGCAGCGCTTCCGCATGGCTTCCGCAGGAATGAATGAATGGCTGGGCGCAGCCTCTTGATTTATACTTTTGTGCTGCGTTGGTCTGCCTTGTACCCCTGGCCCATCGTGCACACAGTCCCAGATGGTACTTGCTGGACTGGACCGGACTGGSTGGACTGGGACTGCTGACTGTACTAGGTGGACTACCACCACTTGACCACTTGCCTCTGTTGAACGCAGGCTCACTCCGAAAGGCCACTTCTAGAAACCTCWAACTTGGCCTTTCGGTACTGTAGCAGCTACGACTTTGCCCTTTCAGGTAAGTGGCAGCTACGACCTTGACCCTTCAGGCAGTCTWCAGCTACGACCTCTGAACTGTCTAGACTCCTACCCTACAGGTCTACAGTTCGAATCCCTTCTACCCTGTGACCTACGAAAACCTACCTACCACTGGCGGTCCTACAGGTAGCAGGTTCAAATCTACGGGTTGACACCGGTACTGTACACAGGTAAGATGGGGAACTAGGGATCGAGACCTGGGAACTGCATCAGCTACTGCGAGCTGGTGAATACCGTTTCACTCTCGCCGGCCTAAATTCGAGGTCCTCCGAGAAAATTTCAATCCAAGGCAGGACCTTTACCTCTCTGTTGTCTCTCGTAGGCCCGGACTATATCGGGAGCTGTCTCTAGCAGTTCAGATCTCGTAAATCAGCGGTCGTCTTCCGGTTCTTGATAACTAAAATGAACCTTGCACTGTTTCTGCGGACGACCCCTACCTCCAGTTCTGAAGACATCTTCAGCCACTATACCATCGATGTCATATCTTCCATCCATATCCGGTGGGATCATCGATCTACGGGATGGAAACTGATCACTTGTTTGACAAGGTAACAACTTCGATGCATGGAAAACTGGGTAAGTGTGGAGGTGTGCTGGGAGTTCTATGGTATAGGACGGTCCATCTTCGCCGTCCTTGACTTCTAGAACGGGCCACGGTCCTCTATATGTGGGCAGTAACTTCTGCGAGATGTTCTCCTCAGGTGCAAACTCCTTAGAATTGACCCAGACTAAGTCGCCTACTTGAAACTGTGAAGGGCGACGATGTTTGTTCGCTTGCTCTATCATCCTATGTCGGGCCTTCCTGAGGTTCTCTACAACAGTAGCTAGTTCTTTCTCGTGCTGTACAGCAGACTCCCTGGTTCCGGGCGGTAATCTGTGAATCTGATCCCGGTTGAGTCCCTCAAACGGTCTGCGCAGTCTAAAGGACTTGTGCAGTTCGTTGGGAGCGCGGCAGGTGGATAAATGCACGCTATTATTATACGCACTAGCTACTTTAGGCAACATCTCGTCCCAGTTAATCTGATCTGGCCAAATGTACATGCGCAGAACTTGCTGTAGGATCTTGTTCATTTGCTCTGTCTGACTGTTAGTCTCTGGATGACGGCCGAACGACATCAACAACTTAGATCCATATACTCCCATGAGTTCTTGCCAGTTCTGGCTAGTAAAGCGACTATCTCTATCGCAAACTATTGACAGTGGGATCCCATTCTCACTCACCCAACAGTCAAAAAATCTTTGTATGACTAAATCAGTACGTGCCTCTGAAGGCAAAGGAACAAAAACTGCGTACTTACTAAAACGGTCAACTATGACCATGACTTGGCTCTTGCCATGCCTGCTCTTGACCTGAGTGTCCATGAAGTCGATGGACACTGAGTCTCTCGGCTGATCCGGAATGGGCAAGGGTCTGAGAAGACCTAACGGGGCACGCGTAGAAGTCTTGTTACGCTGGCAGACTTTACAACTGCGAACATACTCTACGCAGTCATTCTTCATCCCTGGCCAGGTATATGCGCGCATTAGATTGGCTAAAGTCTTCTGCCAACCAAAATAACCCTCTGCGTCGTGGCATTCTCCCAAAATCAGACTACGGATCTCTTCACTATTGGGAATGCACAGGCGGTCAAATACATTAGTCTTCTTAAAAAGCAACCCTTCCGTAGTGCGGTAGTTTGGCTCAGTCTCTTGGGGGCTCCTTGACCTTCTTGAGGAGGTCACTATAGATAGGGTCCTGTGTGTAGGCTTCTCTAATCTTCTGCTGCAGGTCCTTCCCTATGTCTAAGTAATGCACTATTGCCCCAAAGTAATGAGCTCTCCTACTCAGAGCATCCGCAACTACGTTATACTTCCCCTTGACTGGCTTGAGCTCAAAGTCGTACTGATCTATCTCDGCGGCCCACCTAGTAAGCTTAGGTGTCATCTTGGCCTGCGTCTTTAACCATCTCAACGTCTCGTGATCGGAATAGACTTTGAAGTGCCTCCCAAGCAAGTAGTGCTTCCAGTGTTCTAAGGCTTGCCTGAGAGCGTAGAGTTCTCTCTCATAGGTAGATGTCGCGATCTTCTCTGAAGGCATCCTGGAGGACATGAACTCTACGGGTCTATAACTGTTGCCATCGTCTTGCTGCAACACCGCGCCTATGCCGTACTGGCTAGCATCCGTAGTGACGACAAAGGGCAAGGACGGATCGGCTACCTTAAGGACCGGGTACTCTATCGACGCCTGCTTTAACTTCTTCATGGCTGACGTGCAGTCCTTGTCCCACTTCCAGATGGTCTCTTTCCTCAACAATCTGCGGAGGGCGCAGCGATGGTGGAGAAGTCCCGCACGAACTTCCTATATTAATTAGCTAAGCCCAGGAACGAGCGCAACTCTGTTAGCGTACGTGGCGTGGGCCAATCTCTAATCGTTGCGATTTTACAATCTTCTGGTTTAACGCCGTCTCCGTCTAAGGCGTGGCCTAGGTATAAAACTTGGGTCTTTGCCCAATCGCACTTCTCTGCATTGATCTTGAAGTTAGCTTCCCTCAACTTCTCCAAGACCTGCCTGAGATGACCCTGGTGTTCTTGGAGGGTCTTACTAAACACTAAAATATCATCTAAGTAGACAACAACAAATCTATCTAACCATGGCCTAAACAAATCGTTCATACAGCGCTGGAACGTAGCTGGCGCATTGGTTAGTCCAAAGGGCATCACAATAAACTCATAATGCCCGTATCTAGTTGGGAACGCGGTCTTATACTGATCATCAGGATGAACCTCTATCTGATAATATCCGGACTTCAAATCTATCTTGGAGAAATACTTCGCCCCTTGCACTCGATCTAAGAGATCGTCTATCCTAGGCAGTGGCTCAGCATTCTTCACTGTAATAGCATTCAGATCCCT